GCCTCAAACATCTCCGCTCATTACCAAACCGCGCCGCTGCCTTCGGCGCTGTGGCATCGGGCCTTTGTTATTTTCACAGCAAAAAAATAAAAAAGTCAAAATATAATGAGTGTGCCCTCTTAGGAGACACCCACTCGGTGGGGTTTGATCTGTGAATAAGCCCCTTTCAGACATTTTCGAAGAGAAAGTTGTATTTTTACCTCTGAATCATGCTTCTTTGTTTCCTAATTGGAGATGCCACAGGTTTGAGCATCAGGCAGATACATGAAAGACTTCAGATTTTGATGCCAACTGCTCAGATGTCAAACTGTATCTCTAATTGGGGTCACCGACACAGATCTTTGCCCTTCTTTCGGCTGCTCCCTTTGTGCCATCTCCTGCATTTGTTTGGGCTTTTATTGCCTCATGATCATTTGCATCGAACTCCACAGCAAATGCAAGTCCAGAGCCAGGAAATAAAACTGCAGCTGCCTTGAAACATTTCTACCTGCCACCAAAACCCACCGGCGGCCTGAAGAGACCGGGACTGGAGCAGACCGAAATCCCACAGAACAAATAAAGCACTCGAAAAAGCTTTCACCAGAATCACAGAATCACGGAATGTTTGGGGTTGGCAGGGCCCTCTGTGGGTCACCCAGCCCAACCCCCTGCCCAAGCAGGGTCACCCACAGCAGGCTGCACAGCACCGCGTCCAGGTGGGTCTGGAATATCTCCAGAGAAGGAGACTCCACAGCCTCCCTGGGCAGCCTGGGCCAGGGCTCCATCACCCAGCCAGGTGGAGTCTGTGTCTGCTTCCCTCCACCCTCCAGCAGACCACGGCCGCTGCTCTGGGGTCCGCGATGAGGCTGCGACCCATCCTGCAGCCTGGAGGGACGCCCAGCGACGGCCACCCCATGGCGACACCGCGCTTGGGAAGACGCCAAAGCCACGAGCCCCAGGGCACCTCGCTTCACTGGGGGGATCGCGCTGGGCTGCATTCACCTATGGACACGCTGGGGTGTTTCTTCTCATTGGCTTCGTACGCTGCCCTCACGCCAGCACGAGCTCCCGCGCGTGGCTCTCAGGGGACACACAGCACGGGTTAAATACGTGCGGTGGTCAGCAGTCGTGGTCAGCGCCATTGGCCTCTGCTGCCAAACTCTACGAGCGGAGTGAAAATAAAATTGCAGGAATTGCAGAGGACATCCTTCATTTTATGGGGTTGCTTCTCATGCGGGGTGAAGCGGCCCGGAGCAGAGGGGACGGCCCACGGGCTCCCTGGATGCCCTCAGCAGTGACGCTCCCAGCTCCTGGCCCAGCGGTACAGAACCTGGGGAGCATCAGCAGGATCAGGCTGTGCTTACTGCGGGAGCTTCCCCCCCGTAAGCCATCAAAACCTCTTAGAAAATCATAAATAGTGAAGAACTTCAACGGACGAAAATGTTTTCCTGGTTTGGAAGCCAGCTAAACGCACGCAGTCGAAATTGCTTCTAAGTCTGGGGTGGCCCGAGGCCGGATGGGAGAGGGCTCGGGGGGCATCTCGCTCCTCGGGGGGCCTGAAGCCCCCTTCCCGCTTAATCCAAACCCGCTTCTGCTCCAGAGCAAACGGGACTCGCGGGCGCAGGTCTCCGATGCTCCTAGGGGCCGGTTCCCTCGTCGGTCACCGCTGCAGTTTGGTACCGCTCCTCCCGCAGCTCTGCAAGTGTATTTTTACACCTCTGATCTCAATTGAAGAGGTCAGTGGCAAACGAAGCATTAAAAGGTGTCAACCCTCTTGGTTTCGAGCACTGGCGACACTAAGGATTTTACTGAGCAGCCAGAGCACGACAAGGTCTGAGCGGGAGTGCCCTCCTGCACTCACTCGTACCTATAAATGCTATTTATCAATAATATACGTAATAAAATAAGTACTTTTAAGAGCAAGGCAACACTTTTTATTTTTATTTAAAAAGGCCTTGATGGCAGGAATATAGTGTAAAAATCATTGGAAAAACTAAAAGGCATTGATACATATTGGAATATACACTTTTTACATAAATTACATTTATTTATTTATTCTTTCATTTGAGGTTCTTATTCGGTATTGAGGTCTAATAGTTAATAGGTCCTGGGATCTGGACGTTTAGACCACCATAGTCTAACATGTACATGTTCATGGGCCATTGCTGAAAGAGAGGGAGACAAAAAGAAGGCAAAAGTCTCTGTTAGGACACAACACAAAACCATGCATACAACAAATCTCTGACATGTTCTGACATGGGCTGCTGCTCCCAATTTCCAAATAAGATAAAAGAATCAACCCCAAACCAAAACACTGGCAAATCTGACAAAAAAAAAAACCCTTCTAAGTTTATTTTTCTCTTGCGCTTTTTCTTTTTTTAATTTTTTAAAAGCATTTGGTATCATCCACAACCGAGGCCAAGCCCTGAGGGAGAGCAGTTGGATGCACCTCCCTGATTCCGTTTCCCATCCTCGCAGTTTCGCTGCACGCCAGAGCTCTGCTTCGCGTCCGGGACGGAGCTGGAGCAGGCGCCTGGCGCAGCTCAGAGCGTGGGGGAACTGCCGGGTCCTGCCAAGGCCACACCACCAGCACCCGGGTCTGAACCCAGTGGGGCCGGGGGATGTGCTCGAGCCCATCTCCTGCACGGCTCCGGCATACGCTGAGCATCCCCCGAGGTGCTCGGCAGGATGGATGCGCGAGAGCCCCGAGGGGCGGTGGGTGCTTTTCTCTGCTGATTCCCCCCCAGACAAACCCGGCAGGAAAAGGCAGCCCCCAAGCTGCGTCCCCTCCCTCACCAAACCTGCTTGTGCCATTTTATGTCACACTTTACAGCGTTTGTCGGGCAGAGGGAGGTGGTGATGGTTCGAGGAGAGCAGAGAGCAGCATCCTGAAGCAGAAAGATAGGTAGGCAGTAACCCCCCTAATATTTGGAAGGCTTTACCACAAGTGAGATCTGATTTGTTGATGATGTAGACTCCATATTGGAAGAGGAGGAAGAGGAAGATGAAGAAGAGGAAGATACCGAGTTCCCTTCGGAGATCCTCTTCCGCTTCCGTTTGGGAACGCTGGTGTCTTTCTCTGCAGGGAGAGAGGGAAGGCATGAGCTGTTTGAGCCCTGCGAGTGGTCCCTAAATGCGGGGCTCCATCCCGCCGCTTGACCTCGCCTCCCGCTCAGCATCCCCCGCGGCGATCCACTGTGCCGCTGTCGGTGACACGGGCTTGGCCGCCGCGACTGGGCACGGAGCTGCCAGCTTTCCTCAGACACCAGCAAAGAAAATCCCCAAAATAAGCAAATCCCAAAGGGCAGCACTTACAGAGCCTGATATCCCACAGACTCGTGTCCGTGCTGGGTGCTTTGGGGCTGTGAAGGTGCCAGCTGTGGTGACAATATGCCCATATATACATATGTCTGCATATATGATACAGCCATATTCATCTGCAGATATGAAGTTTCTTGTGCATCTCTTTTTATATCAGACTGTGGGCGTGCTCTTGCTTGCCAGATCTCTCTCCTCTACCTAGTCACCTATTTTCATAAAATTAATAGGTTCCTAATTATCTCTGGGGCTGCTAATTCTGACACATTTGATTAAAACTGGCTGAGATTTATTGGGGAGGATGGGACAGAGAGAAATGCATTTGCAGTGATCACAGAAACCTTGTTTCCTTAGAAGCTCAACTGCTAAACGATGACTCAGATTAAGGGCTTTAACCAGTGAATAAATTGCTCATGGTGAGTAAATTGCTAATGGGAAAGGGATAATCAAGTCCTCCAGAACATGCTGAAAGTTCGAGCCTAGCAGCCCAGCCTCTCCCCAGCTCACAGAAGCGCAATCATCTCAGAGGATGGTCTGCTCCCGAACAGATGCTGAGCCTGACTTTTCTTTCTCCAGGTGGGATCTTCTCCCCAGCCTCCCCTGGGGACGCCGGAGGGTTGAACGCCTCCCCGCAGCCCCCATCCGCTTTGCCCCTATCTTCTCTCTGCCACAGGGCAGGGAAAGCCACGGTTATCTCTCAGCCCTCCGCTTACCTGTTTGTTTGGCCTCGGTGCAGATTTCGGCAAACGGCCTGCGTAAGAGACAGCGGGGTGAGAGCAGGCGGACCCTGTCGCTCCCGCCCTGCGCGCCTGCCCGTGCTGGGACGCAGCCCGGACCCCGACCCCGAGATGGGACACGGAGCCTCTGGGGGAAGCAACCCGAAATAACTCAGCTGGGTCTCTGAGCTGCCCCTTTATCTACCCCTGGCCCGTGCCTCTTCCCAGCACCGTCATCACAAACTGTGCAAGAAAGCAGGGATAACCCAGCCCTGCGGACACTTCCCGGTGCCCACTTGTGGCCGAGCACATCCCTGTGGTGAAGGACAGCGGATGCTGGGAACGGAGCGGGTCCTCCGTGGGTGACACGGCCCCACTCCAGCAGCCCCACGGTGACTTACCCTACTTGCAGATGGAGAAGCAAGGGCAATGCTTAACGAACAGAAACCTTCCCTGGTTGGGGAACTTACTGGAGCTGGTTTATGATCACCATCCGGATGTTCTCCCGTGCCTTCAGGATCTTCTCCAGCCGATGGATGTCGTAGGTATTGGGGTTTCTGAAAGGGATATCGTCCGGCAACCCAGTAACCTCCACAGCATCAGGACTGTCTCTGATGAGTTTATAGGGCACCATGACGGGCCGGTTCAAGCCCAGAGCCTCTCCTGTAACAGCAGAGCAGAGCACAATGCACTGGCTTTACCCCACAGGGCTCTGGATCCAACCAACCGACAGACCAAGAGCCTTGGGAGGACTCTGGGCAGCCACGGCTGCCATGATGCCCAACCTTTGCTGCAGTCACGTCCCACCCAGCCATTTACACATCTGCCTGCCCAATTTATCGCCTGCTCCATTAGTCCATTCAGGATCCTGCCCAGAGCCTCAGGGCAGGGCTGTTTTGCAGCACCAGCACCCGCACACCCACCTCTGCTCCGTGCAGAGCACACCCATGGCCATGCTTGTGCCAGCCCGTGGCTGGGCCAGCAGCAGCGTGGGAGAAGCCCAGGAGAGAGGGCAAATGGGAGAGGTTTGTCCATCTCCTCTGGCCTCCAGCTGTCAGCAGGTTTGGGGGTCACTGGGGTGGAATCACATCTGTCACTCATCATCACATCACATTGCCCCTGCCCATTTTTTTTAATCACTTTATCCCTTTGGCCTCCACTATACCCTATAGCAGTGAAATACCACAATTTAATTCCTTGTTGCATTAAAAGCACCTCCTTCTGTGTGATTTAAACCCGTTGCCCAACTCTCTGGATACCCTTTTAGTTCCTGCATCATGGGGAGCAGCAAATGTCCCTCTCCGGTGCTGGTCCTGACCATGGGAGCCTGCTCTTACCTTGCACCTCTGCAACCCCCAAACCTGGAGGCGCGAACTGCCCCTCAGCCATGTTCCTGGCTTTCCCCACAGGGAGTTCGTCCCTGGAGCCCCCCTGTCATCTTGTGCTCCATAAACCGTGCCAGGACCGTGGGAATGCAGAGCTCTGCTGCGGGCGCAGCCCCGACATGGGGCGAGCGCTGCTGAGCTGGGGCGGATGGGGATGCTCGGAGCATGGGCACCAGCCTCCCAGGGAGCTGCGCCCACACGCTGGCACCTCTAAGGGGGCAAATCCACTCCCAAAGCAGCACACACTGCGAGCAGCACCCCAAAATAAACAGGGTTTTCAAGAAGGGCAAGCAGCCTTGCCAAGGGGAGACTTGAAAAAGGAGGGAAATGACATTTCCCACTGCTTTGCTATCATTTGGGCTGTTTTCCTTCTCCTTCAGGCAATTCTTCTGGGGAGAAAGTTGCGATGCTGCACCCAACAGTGGGGTGTCACCGAGCCTCTGCGGGCCAGCTGCACGCCCTGGGGTCTCGGGGTGCGACGGGTGGGAGGAGGGGTTTGCTAGGCAGCACAAGGGGCTTGCAGACAGCGTTTTCAAATCTTCTTCAGTCTCCTGAGCGCCTTTTCTGCCATGGCTCCAGCGAGCCTTTCCCCTGCCGTGCCCCGCGCCGGGCTGCGGCTCCCCAGCCCGCAGGCGGGCGCAGGGCAGCCACGCTCAGCACACACCGCAGCTCACGCCAGCCCACGGCACGTTAAAAACATTCCGAAGGCTGACACCAGACTGAACAAATCCCGCTCGTCGGCTGTGGTTTTTCCTCTCTTCCCTCTCTCCTCGCCACGGAGAAGCTGTCAACAAGAAGGTCACGGTCCCACCTGCCGGGAGCGGGACGGGGAACGTCCCCGGGGACAGGCTGTAATGTGAGGCAGTGGGATGAAACCTGTGCTGCAGCAGGCTGCTGTGTGCTCAGCCTATAAATAGAGGCCTTCGGCTGAATTAATTTTAACTATGGCTGCTGTCAGCAAAAACAAACCCGCCTGGCGATGCGTGCAGATGGGAGACTCACCGTATTTTTCATTGAAAAGCTCTTTCACTTGCTCTCGGAGAATCACCTTCTCCCCGAGCCTGTTGGCATCGTCCTCATCTGCAAAGCAAAAAAAGGACAGGGAATAAAACACCACATTTTCTTCTGAGCCCCTGGAAAACCCATCCCGCTGTCACAAGGCACGACCGCGTCTCTGTCCCTCTGCCCCAGCGCGGCGCGGGGACACCCTGCAAGCGGCTGCTCTGTGCCTGCACCTCGCGTCGCCTTTCAGAGCCGTGCAAAGTAGCTATAAAACGCTGCCAAATCTGCATCTGCCACGCGCTGCCACGGCTGAGAGCGTTTTACATCCACTTTGCAGTGCTGTAAATGACTGCAAAATATGCAAAGCAACGGAGACTCAGGCCCTCAGTGCCACGAATGCTCCCACGAGTGATATCAAGGAAGGAGATAGCCCTTTTATAGCTGGGGTCCTAACTACAGTATTGTTTTATAATATGCCATATAATCAGCTTGGCTTTACTAGCTTTTCTAATTATCCTCATCGTGCTAAAGAGTTTCTCCTCTGTTCTCTCATTTCAGACGACGTGCCTATGTCAGTACATTTTTCCCCCAGCTATTCAGCATCCTCAGGGGGCTCCAGGAAAAGCGACTTGGCTCACGACCGGCCCCCTTCGATGCTTTTTCACCCCACAGGCGTAAAGTAACAACTGGGTGAACCTTCTCCTCCTCTGGCCGGGGTCCCCCCTCCAGCCCCGAGCCAGCCCCAGCCGGGGTGTGCAGCACAGGGCCGGCTCGGTGGGGTCTCGGAGAGGAGGCATCACCTCCCCGAGCCTCGAGCCTCGCCGCACCCACGGTGGGCGGTTTCACCGCGGCTGGCATGCCACGGGGTGGAAATTCAGGGGGGTCACTTCAGACCTCAAGGTGAGTGCTGCATGCCTCAGCATGAGGGACCCAAGCATCCTCTGCCCCCCCATCTCCAGCTATTTGATTTGATTTTGAGCAATGACATGATTTTGACTCCGATTTTGAGCAGTATCACATGACTTGGTGATTTTGGTGTTCAGCAATCACGTGGCTTGCAATTTTGTTTGCAACGCCAGCTGACAACCTGACACGCGTCCCTGCCTCCCTGCCCATCGCTCAGCACCCCCAGCAGAAACCACACTCCTCGGGCACCCTGCTGCTGAGGGTCCTGGATTGAAGCTGGCACCCTTACATCTCCACACCCTGCTACTGCAGGGTATGGCCTCAAAAACCTTTTCCCCACCTGGAACACAATAGTTTTGTTGGGATATGACTAGGAAAAAAAAAAGGAGATGTTTCTGTGAAGGAACCTCAGGGGCAAGTCGTGCTTCAAATCCAGAAATGGCAACAAAGCAGCTTGAAAGGGATGGAGCAAAAAAAAAAAAAAAAAGAAGAAAAACAAATAAATATCGCCAAGGAGCTCTGATTTCAAGCACCAAGACCTTGCCGTGCAGTGCCGCTGCTGAGGCCACGGCAGGCCGGCGGGGGCAAACCCTGCCTGCTCCCTCTGTGACTTCCTCGTCATCGATGCTCAGTTTCTGGGCTGTACGGACATGTAGATGGTAGCAGACAAAGAAACCCCAAAATGAAGTGTTCTCTCGTTCAGTTCTCTGGGACTGAAAAACGCAGCAGCTCTTTCCTTTCCGCTTATGCCCCGAGCGACCCAAGTGCAAGACACAAGATCCCACGGGGTTTTTTTTTCCGCCTTGCGGTGGGCAGGACTCCCAAATTCCCATCCAAGGACACAAATGCCATGCAAAACCTGGAACTGAGCATGCATAACAGAGAAGCCAGAGAGGAGGCTCCGGCTGGCGGTGCCCCTGCCCAGGGACCTGCCCCTCCATCCCCAGGTGGCTCCGGGCAGGAGGGATCTCCATCTACCTTCAACTTTAGACGTTTGGGTTTGGGAAATCATCAATTCAAGGAAGCCACTGGCACCCCTGCAATGTGCCGAGTCCTTCCCATATAGCAGGTTGATGCATGCTGCTGGCTTCAGCTCTGTGCTATCAATGTTATGATTTTTTTTAACTAAAAAAAGTAGCCAGTTGATTGACTAATTTTTTCCACAGTCCTACTTGCCTGAAGCGAGGACCCCTGTGCTCTGTAGGCACATTCGTGCAAGAGGTCACATTTTTAAAGCACCATTTGCCTTTTTCCAATAGCTTTTCCGAGCTTGACATTTCTTTTAGAAACACCAAGTCGTTTTTAGTAGTTATTAAAAATGGGGTTTAGGTGTCTGCTGTTGGACAACAAGATCCAAAACGCCGCCTATTCCTCTAGCGACTTTAAAAAAACACAACAAAACCAAATCCAAGGAATCCCATGGATAAATCACAGTTTTGTCCTGGTTCGCGCTGCCAAGTGCTGAGCCCTGATCTCGGCAGTGAAGCTGGGCAGGGCACCCGGCAAAGCCGTTCTCCTCCCCTCGCCTCTGCCAGCATGCTGGGGTGCTGCTCCGGGCGATGCACGTCCTCCACCCGGCCACCGCGCTCGGAGCGACAACCTGCCGTTATCCCAACTGGTGGCGTGAAGCCCACTGCATCAGGAAAACAGCCGCTGCCCAACACATCCCACCAGGAAAGTGGCTTGGGTCCCTTCCTCAGGCGATCCCGGTCGTGCCAAAGCAACCCCAGCCGGGGCAGGCTGCTTACAGCGGCCAGGATCTGGCCCTGAGTCTCGGCAGGATAAACGCACGCCCCTTCCCCCCTCCCAGCTTCAACGGGAGCAATTCAGTTACACCCCTGTGTAAACCCACAGTAAACCCACTGACTTTACTGAGGCTATTCTGCAGTAACTCAGGCTTAAATACAGTTTGAATTAGCTCAACTTCTGCGTGTTTTCAAAGCAGAGCTATAAACTTGCGGGAGCAGGCAATTTCTAGACAGGCGCCCAGAACCCCAGCTGCTAGGACTGAGGCTGGGTCTGCCGGAGATACGCCGTGCCCTGCCGCAGACGAGCCCTTCTTTAGTCCCATAAATTAGTCTATATGTTAAATCCCCAGAGCCTACATGACTACACACCAACGCTGGCCCAGGTTATGTGTTAAAGCAAAGCAAAAAAGCCCCAACTCAAGTCTGTGTGAGCTCTCCTTGCGAATGGCAAGTGGATTTTCTAACAAATGAATTGCTCGGACACCAGGATGAGCTGAGGCTAACGGGGCAGGCTGGTCTGTCTGGAGTGGAACCGGCACCGACGCCCAGGGACTGCAGCAACGGTGCTTAGAAATGCAGAGAGGATTAATAACAACAACCAAACACTGTTAAACACATCCTGCAACATTCAGTTCTTGGCATCAGAGGGAAACAGAGAGGAAAAAAAAAATACCTGAAATTTGGGGGTTTAAGACATTTTCATTCCTGTATTAAAACACAAGTGCATTTCTTGTCTGCTACCATCTACGATGCATCACCTGAGCTACGTACCATTCAAGGCAGCGTAGGCTTTTTCCAATGACGTTATCCGTCTAGGGGCTACAGTGCAAGTTAAAAGAAGACACAAAAAAAACAAAAAAAGAGAGAAAGAAAAAGAGAGCCATGAGTGCTGCAGCTTGGTTTCTTGGTCACAAACAAAAGCAAAACCCAGGATGACACCGTCCCTAGCAGCTTAAAATTCCTCCGGTCCCGAGGCCCCTTGGCACAGAGATGCTTTCGGTAGTTGAATAACTGCCCGGTGAGCTGGGCGGGCGGGCTGGGCTCGGCACCGTGCACCAGGGCCCCGTTTTGGGATGTGCTTGAGCCCGCGAGCACCCCTCGAGCTACGCTGCATTCCTGAGCGGCTCGAGGTCCACGTGTGCCCAGGGACGCGTGGCTGAATCGCAGCACTTGCAGCATGTGCCAAAGCAGCAGCGGTTGCGCTGCATGGCCACGCCGGAGGAGAGAAAAAAATATCTGAGGTTAAAGCAGATGAAAAGCAAACAGAGAAACTGTGTCAGTTCTGCAGCAAGGGAGGAGGAACAGGAGAAAAAGGAATCCCTAAGGAGAGGCTGGCGCTGGCCACCGACTCCAAAGTGAGGAGCGATATCAAAAAGAAATGAATGCTCTCGCTGCCGAACTGCAGCACGCGAGCACTGGCAAATCAGAGGGGATGGGGGCAGAGAGCAGTGGTGCGTGTCTGAATTTGCTGAGCGGAGACACGAGCACTCTGAAGTAGCTCAAAAGAGGCATCAAACATTTCAGGTCGGCTCAGGAAAGCAGCCGCAGCAGCCATTTGGTTCAGCGGCACCACAGGAACAGAAAAACACAGGGCAGCTGCAGGCACCGACGTCTCGGCGCAGACCACGGCGAGCCGGGCGCTCAGCCGGACCCTGTGCCGCCGGTGGACAAATCCTGCCGGACGCTGCAGCACTGCCGCTCACTGCCATGCAGCAGGACCCAGCTGGAAAAGCAGTGATGCTGGTCCCCCGAATCGCTGGGTGACACCCTGCCCGCGTGGCACCCACCGTGCAAAATGCTTAAAGCAAAAATGCAGGGCAAAAGGGAAGAGATGCAGATAGGTCACGCTGGCACTGGGAAAGCCAAGCTAGAGTCCAGGCCAAGAGGGAGCATGGTCCTGGCGTAGCTCCCGTCAAGGAGGAAAGCAGGCAGGAGCACGGGCAGGAGCGCAGGCTGGCAGCGAGGAAGAGGAAGGAGCACACAGCAGCACCTTTCCAATGTGAAGCAGAAACGGTTTTGGAAGGGCAGCGCAGCATTTCGTTTGGTGGGCAGCAGCTCAAACGCATTTTCGGTGTTTTAGGTGATGATTTCAAGGTGCCGTTACGAAATCACGCTGATTTAGAAAGATAATTGAATTTTTTCGTCCTGGTAACCCACATGCCCTGCTCAGCCTGAAGCACAGGAGGACCCCACCAGGCTCAGGCTGCTGTGCTGCCAGGTACGGAGCGCAGCCCTAACTGCCGGACCGCAGCCAGGATGGAGCAGCACCCATCCCACCATGCAGCGAGCACCCTGAGAAAAGAGGGTTTCGGGGCCTCTGAAGGAGATGGCAGGACCTGAGGCTGGCAGGGAGCAGGAGGGAGACAAGAGCAAAGCAAACATGAGGGCTGGGACGAGCTGGGCGATGGTGCTGCCTTCTCATCGGCACGAGGATGCCACACAAGCAGGGAAAGGGAAAAGGAGACAAAAAACAGGCAAAGAAAAAGGTAATTTGAATCGCAGAGGTGCTTAAAAACAGGCTTTGAAGCTCCACAGCTACTCACACTGCCTACTTCATTCTCCACCTTCAGACTAAACCCACTAGCTAGCTGGGCACTAAGAAATAATTCACCCTGGATAAGAGGAAGGCGGATCAGAAGGAAAAATAATCCAGCTGCTCCCGTGGGGGCTAAGTGTTGGGGCTGGGGGATGAAGGGACAGGGGCATGGACCTCGAGAAGCAACCTGAAGATGGAGCAAGAGGCGCCCAGCTCTCATCACTGCCCCACCAAGTGCTTTCCTCTCTTCTTTGTTTTCTTGCTAGGAGTTTCCAACGCGAGGCACATCTCATCAAAGTCTTGCCCAGGATTGTGCTCTCGTGATAAAAAAAAAAGAAAATATAAAAAAGATGCCTGGATGTGTGGGTTTTTTTTAATTAAAGAACACTGCCTGCCCTACTTTATTAATTGGAGTATGGGAAATAATCTGCCAGGGTGGTAGAGAGTTTGGGGAATAGGACAGATGGAGCTGGTGTACATTTTCAATCAAAGCACATAAAAATTAACATACAGAAAGATTTTTTTGTTCGTGTGCTAAATTACTTCTGCTTGCTTTTTTTTTTTTCAAAGGCTCAAATTAAACCTGTTTTGTATCTCTGTGCCTTGGGAAAGAAGAAAAGAAAGGAGAAGTGTTGTGTTTATAGCGCTGGAGCTTCACCCCTGCTCGCTCCCTTCTCTTTTAATGCCAACAGAGCCTTCTGCTTTCAAAAAGGGGGTTTGAAGGTCTGTTTTTGCGGAGCAGAGACCACCAGCGGGGAGAAAAGAAACTGGAAATCAAAAGGGAAATCTCAGCACGCCAGGAGGGTTGTGCTCCTGCGTTGAAGCCCCCGGGACCCAGGCAGGTAAAGTGCTGGCAGTGGCACCAGTGACCTCGGGGCCATCGTCCCACCTTCGAAAGGGGCTGCAAATCCACACTGCAGAAGGGGGCTGCAGCCACTGACCTCCTCTGGGCACTGGGCAGCACCGCCGGCTTGATTTTTCCCAAAAAGCAGCCTCATTTGCCCCCGAAAACCCCACCTTCTCCTGCAGACAGCATCCCTGCAGGCACACACCCCCCAGCCACCTCTGCGCTGGCAGCATCGCCCCCCCACTGTGACCCATTAGGGGGGAGATACCATCTTGACAGAGAAATTACAGATTATCTTGAGAAAAAGCACGCTTGGTGCTCAGGTTATACTGAAATCCTTTCATCTTTTCTGCCGCACTTCAAAAATGGGTGTCCCCAAAAGAGCGAGAGAGGGGGGCCAGTCCTCTGCAGTCCTGCAGTTATCTGGGATGCTCTTTGCAATGCAGGAGGGGCACAACTTGTTTAAAGCAAATCAGACCCCGTAATTTAACCTAAAAGCAACTAAAATCACCCCAAAGTGATTTTTTTTAAAATTTATGTTAAATTTCCCTTTTCCCTTAAAATGTGTATTGTTCATATAATTTTTGGCCAAAATTATCCACAAAAAACATAACCTCCCTTATCTTTATACTGTCATCTCCTAGGCCTTCCAGATTTTAGACACCTTTGCAGTGCCATCCTGCTTGGGAGTAACTATTGCCTTCATTTTAACGCTCTGCTACGAAAGAAAAGTGATTTTCAGTGATTTTGATTTAACGCCAAGCACACACTTCTGCTGCTCCTCTTCATTTTACATGGCAGGACTTTACTACTCAAGACTGAGGTAAAAGAACACTCTTAAAATCAAATTTTTAATCATCTATGGCTAGTTGGAAATCATTAATTTTTGTTAAGGCAGATGGAAAGCGATCAAAGTCAAGGCAGCGTTGCCACCATCCACCTCGGTGTAATGGGGTGGAAAAGCAGATGAGAGGTTAATCGCTGTCAATGGGGATTTTTGGGGGGCAAAATACAAACAGCTTTTTTCTCGGGGAGATATTCCAGTGGTAGTCCGACTACTAGAAAATAATTCTAAGTCCTTGAATTGTCCCTGAAGATTTAGCAAATGCATGAAATAGTCTATAACAAATTGAGATGTCAAATAAGAAAAACCCCTCACCTGCGACTGCTCTTATTTAAAACCCCCGTGGGAGGAGACGGCATGAAGCCCGGAGCCCGGCAGGGATCCTGCGACCTCCTCCCGAGCCCGCTCGGGCACCACAACACACAGAATAAAATATGCCTTTGGGTTTGTGCTAGCACAGGCCAGCTCGCGGTGGGAGCGTTCAGCTGGAGGAGGAGGAAAAAAAAATGTGCACCGAAAAGAAAATCCATTTCCTCTACATCTCTATCTCTCAGGCTGCACTTCCCAGCCAGCTGGCAGACTGAAGGATTTGCCTTCTGATGTGCTCCTTTGTTAATGGTGTGATTTGTGTCAGATCAGCGTCTCTTAACGTAATTACACCGATTACGGCGGAGGAACGGGAAGACAAGATGTGGCTGGAGGAGCGGATACACTCTCGTCTCGCCACGGCATTACAGCCGCGTAATCCGTGGAAAACCAGAGTTCCGCAAAACTTGCATTTCCCCAAGGGTTCGTTTAAAGTCAACGCGAGCCGGCACCTCGCTGCTTAGGACCGAAAGAGAGGAAGCGTAAAGCCAAGGTCCGTGGAGGTCTCAGGGGACCCCCACATCGGCTCGGCTGGGCCATCCACAGGGAGCCAGAGGACCGACACAGGGACCGTGCCCTGGCAGGAATTTCCCAGGCCTTTCGCTAGAGCCCTCTCGGGTGGCCAACACCTTTTGCTGCTCTCAATAAGGGCATATAAATGTTCTCCTCCCTGTCATATTTGTTTTCCCTAAAGTGTGCCATCTCCATGGAGGCTGGCCAAGGAAATGGAAGCCATCAATAAGGACGACAACGGTTTTTGCACCCATCTGTGCTCTTCCAAGAGTTGTAACTGCAGACATTTAAAACCGAGACAGGTCTTTACCCGGATTCCTACCAGCAGCTCTCTTTTCTGGGCAGCTGAGAAGCAAGAGACAGAGCTATCGCAGCGATGCACGGGGAAGGACGTGGCTCCGAGATGGCGATTTCTGCCGCTGGGTACGGAGCATACCCCGGACACCCCATCCTCCCCTCTTCCACGCTTTCCCCGGTGTTTTCGCACGTGGGATGCCCATGAGCCGGCGAGGGCTTTCACTGCCACGCTGCTGCAGCCTGCTGGGGACCCTGCGGTTAACCAGCCCCTTGCCATGCCCCGCCTCGCTGCCAAACCTGCCAGCTCATTGCAACACTTCTTTATTTTAAGAAAACGCTTAAGAAAGCGGGTGCTGTCTTAAATAAAGAACATAGATCCTTGCCCTGCATTAGCTCTTGAAAAACATTGTCATTTGAAGGCAACAGCAGCAGTACTGACGGGTGACGCTGAGGCCAGCTCGCTCAGGCGGGGGAACTTCAGCAAATGACCAACAGCACCAAACAACAACAAAACCGAAGTGGGAAGGCCAGCAAAGTGAGGTCAGTGGCAACCTTCCTCCAGCTGATAAAATTATTGCTCGCCATCGACAGTTTACAACTCCCCAGCCACCACTAAACACCCGGCCAACGCTTTGCTTAGGCAAAAAGGCATCATCTCTTACCGGGTTTGGGGATGAGTCCTTGAAAAGGCCTGTGAAAATTAAGGAAAAAAGAAGAATTAAAATGGACCGCCACAGGGAAGCCAACATGCCTTGACCAGGCACCCTCCCACGGCCCAGGGAGGGTCGGGGATCGGCCTGTCCCTTGGCGCTGTGCCACGACTCGCGCGGGACGGGACGGGGTCCCTGCGCTCCCCAGGGACGCTCGCCCTGCTCGGGGCAGCACGCACCTCGTCGGTACGACAACAGGCAGCGAGGCCCAGCCAGAGGGTGATGGAGCCACTCTTCAGTTTTTTCCCTGTCTCACCTTGGAGTGGTACAGCGATAAAGTGCCTTTTCCCTTCCCACTGGTGTCCATCCCCTTTGGCTGTAAAACCCACAGGACCCCCAGCGAACAGCTGGTGCCGGTGCATCTCCGAGGGCTGCGGGACCCTGAGCAGAGCCTTTCACCAGCAATAAACCCAGCAACATGTCCCCTATCTCAAGCCTCCTGGAAAAGGGGCTGAGATTCCTCTGCCCACACAACCATTGAACCAAGCTCCACGTTTTCCCCCACCAGTGCCTTCCCCACCACCTCCCCGGGCAGCAGACAGGAGGAAAGAGTCTCTATTTTGTGGTCCCCTTCTTTCTGTCGAACCATTAGCTGCCAACTTCACTGCTGTCTTGGGGGCCGGAGGCGTTTATAGTATTTACAGCCTTGCCTCGACGGGGCTGGCAGACCGGGGGTGCGTTTAGATGGGCTCCCTCCTCTCCTCGGCGGGCTGGCTGACACCTCTCGCCACGTACCTCGTCACGGTGAACTTGATTTTATCGGCAACAGCCAATATCCTCTCCAGGTTCTGCGAGCCAAAGGTGCACGGCTTCCTGAAGGGGATCCCGGGGGGCAGCCCCTCTATAATCACCGACCCCGGGTTGCTCTTGATGCGCTTGTAGGGCACTTGCACGGGGTATTTAATCCCCAAGGCCTCACCTGGGAGAGAAGCGAGTGGTAAGCGAGCGGTAAGTGCACAGGATGCGATTTCTGCCATGGCCCCAGCTCCATCCCCATCCCCACCAAAGCACGGCGCGGCGTGAGCAGCCTGCTCAAGGCTCCCCGTTGGCATCAGATCCAGGACCAGCATTTTCAGACTGCCTCCACCATGGGAGCGGAAGGGTCCCAGGGCAGCTGCGAGCGCGCAGCAGAGCTGGTGGGGCTGAGGAGAGGCACCGTCCCGTACGATGACACCCGTGCAGTGCAGTGGCAGGCGTGGAAAGCCCCTGCTCTTTGCTTTGGGACGTTGTTCGGAGGTAACTCAATACCCTCGTTCCCTCTCTGAGGTCTGGCTGGAGGACTGCGGCTACACATCTCCTTGCGGGTACCTGGGAACCCGCACAAGTCTCACCCCTGCCTAGAAAATGGGGATAACAGCATTCCCCTGCCTTGCTTGATAAGGAACAGACGCAGGGGCAGGCGGGCCGTGGGAATGCCCTGCAGAGCCGGGTAGGTGCCATGCGGACAGGAGGAGCGGCATCTGCTCATCCCCCAACACCCCTGCGAGCGCTTGCTACGGCCTCTTCTCGGAGCAAGGGTTAAAAGAAAAACCAAAACCTGGTGCAAGCCCTGCAGCAAAGAGCACCGATTCCCAGACCCAGCGTTCCCTCCCCGGCCCCGCGCGGTGCCAGCCGCTCACCGGGGAGGTGAGAGCAAGCACCTGGCAGGGAGGAATCGGGAGGAGACGGAGCAAAAAAATTCAGGAGGGATAAGGGGGAATAAAACCGACTCCCACCCTGGTTTCTCACCGTATTTCTTATTGAACAGGTCCTGGACTTGTTCCCGCAGCGTGTTAGCGATGTCTATTCTGGAAAGCCTGGCATCATAATTTTCTGTAAAATAAAAACAATTACGGACTTCTGCTGGTAAATTAAAAGGCACTCTGTGACTTTTAAGTAATGCCATTTTCTAATTATAGGAAAGTCCTTATCTTGCAATTAGCTAATCTCTGGAGTGGGCCATTCAAAGTCCTTAAAAATAATCTAAACAGAAATATGTTTTTTTCCCCCCGTCTGTTGGCTAAGAATAAAAGCCGCATGAAATCAAAGATTCAGTTGCGATAATTACTGCCGTTAAAATAAAAAGCATTCCAAAGCCTCTCTGAAAAGCCAAAGCCTTTGAAAAACCTCCGTCCCTCTCTGCAAACCCTCACAGGCCCCCGTGGCCCGAGGAAAAGGGATGCTCGAGCAGGACAGCGCTTGCCCCCCAGCCCACGGGCTTCGCACCTTCGCTCCGTTCTCCGATGGAGCCACCGTGCCGGCTGCCAGCACACGCTGGACGGGAGCGGTGTCTGTACAAACATCACCCAGGTGGAAAAGGACCCAGAAAAGGCAAGTTCTGAGGCTTGCAAGACTTAATTATGCATCTCACAAGGTCAGACGGCGAGATAAGCAAAGCCGGTTAATTAGGGCACCATCCAGAGCGCTTTGAGCCTCTTCCTTGGACCTCCGGGACTGCCTGCCCTGGCTGTGTGTCTTGTCTTCTGGCTGTCTGTCCTTCCCATCCTCTCACTCGCCTCCTCTCCTCCCTCCCTTGCCTTGCTCCTCTGCCAATCCACCAAGCCCTGACGCCCTGTGGCCACTGCCCTCCCACATCTGTTTGCTCTACTCAGCTCCCGAAACGGGCCAGGGACCCTGCCTTAACCTCCCCCAGATGCCTCCAGGCCCTCACCTTGAAAGCCCTGTCTCTTCACAGCGTCCTCCAGCAGCGCCTCGCTCGAGTCCCTCTCGCCGGCGGCTGAGACAGGGGACATAAGAGGAATGAGGATTCGTGGTGCAGCCAAGGGGGATGCACAGGAGGGGATTTCCAGCCAAAAAACGAGGTGGGGAGGGAAGGCAAGAGACACGCTGTAGGAAAACGCTCTCACTCCTCTCCTACCTAGTCCTTAACGGCCCGGCTGCCGGGCGTCTCGCCACGAATGAGCTCCCCGGCAGCAACACCCCGCTGCTCCAGCATCCCCGGGGACAACGCTCCCACAGCCACAACCCGCTAACCGTGGGAATGTCGGGAATCATTTTCATGCCGACGGACTCTTTAGTGAGCTCCCCGGGACGACATGAAGCCGGTGATGGCTGACCAGCTTAAATCGGCAGCTACAGACTTTTAGGAGACATGGTCCTGCACATTCCTCAGGGATGGGAGAAGCCGTACATGGCTCCTTTCAACATACCATTGGCCCCAAAAATTGTCTCTTGGGTATCTAATGCTAGAACCACACAGCGAGATGATAGCAGGGCTCGTTACAAGCCCTGCTGAAGCCGAGATACAGTGAAAGGGGTCTGGGATGGGGACAGGAGAACCCCCAAACTGTGGTCAGGCCGGCCTGGGAGCTGGTGCTCCGATGCCTCAAAGTCTCCACACTCCCAACATTTATTTTCTGTTTCAGCCACCCACCACGTTGGTTGCGTCAGCTCTCTCTTCTGCAAGGGAGGCGGAGTCAGCATTTGGGTGAGAAACCCCCCAAAATACCTAAAGACATTTTTAAATCCATCTCTGCTGGATCTGTTCCCTCTTTCAGGGCAATGCTGTTGCGTTACGTTGATCGAGGCATCTCACAGCTCCCCCAGCCTTGTGACATCCCCTTGCTGCACAGCACAAGGACAGCGTCTTCCCTGATGCCCACAGCATCCCCTGTGCGCATCTGGACCTTGGCTGGAGCCGCTTCCCACAGGAAAACCCTCCAGGGCTCCCAGCCCCTCTCCTTGGCCCATGCTTGAGCACCCTGAAGGTTAAAGGCTCTGGCTGCTTCACCCACCCTTGGGTGCTCCCTGCTGCTGTGGCCAAACTTTGCAAAAGTGGGTGAAAACCCCAAAAGACATCAATGGAGAGACGATAACGCCACTGCTGCTTCTCAGGGATGGCTCCAAAAAGGCAACAACCCTCAGTTGCTTCTAATCGAGCAAATTTATTGAAGGTGACCCAAGTGATAGATGTTCCCCAGGACACTGCACAGCAGCAGGAGCTCCGAGCAGCAACATCCTCCCCAAGGGACGGCTGCTCCACCTGCCTTACCTTTTAATAACAAACTGGATGTTGTTGCTCGCTTGCAGGATCTTCTTCAGCTTCGCAATCCCGAAGCAGTTGGGACGCCGCAGCAGGATGCCCTCTGGCAAGCCCACAACAAACAGGTCCTCGGGGTACATCAGGAACTTGGAGTAGGGAACTTTGACCGGCTCTGATATTCCTATGGCTTTCGCTGTGTGGGGACCAAATCTCATTAGTTTGCTGGATGTCCACATTGGGTCAGAGCAGCAGCGACACGATACGTTGGTGGGGGGCTGGAGAGGTTTTTGGAGAGTTTGTTGTCACTCTGTGCCTGGTGGAGATGTCCCTGGTGGGGATGTCCCTGATGTGGGCAGACGCAAGCCGAGGAACAGCCAGGCAGCCGCTGGGAGCTGGCTTTTGCATTTGCTGCGTTAACACAGGCTGCCTTTTGGTGCCACGCACCGAAAGCGCCTCCTGTAAAGGTTGCGCACGCCTCTCCATGAGGCAATGGGACCCCATGTTCAGACCTCCACGGACGTACCTCTGCCAGATGAGGGGACAGGGAACATGCCTGAGGGTGCCTTGCCAGCCTGTGCAGCCTGGCATGGCGAGGGCTCCCCTTGTTCTACTAAATATTGCCAAAAAGCAACTGAACAGCCGGGGCCACGCAGCCACGTTTGGCCAGCAGTGAAAAGCCAGGACCAAATCCCGGACTCCCAGTCTGTTGCTAAAGCGTGGGGTACAGCGAGGGCCATTGCTCTGCCGGCCGATCCAGCTGCATCCCCAGTGCCTAACCCTGCCTGAGAGCATCCCGGCCCATCTCCTTTCCCCCAGTCACGATGGGCTCTCCCAGCCAGGCAGAGCAGCATCTCCTGGTCCTGCCAGTGGCAAAAACTTTCTGCCAGCTCTCAAAACGCACGTGTGACCTCACATGTATTTTTTCTATTTAAATAACCTTTCTAAAAAGGGGTGAGCAGAGCATGCCGAGTGCCAGCCCCCGGCGCCGGGTCCCACCAACCTTCCTGAGTCATACCACGACCACCTCGGGTGGAAAACCCTCTCTGATATTTCAAACAACTGACGGGGGAACCACTTCGGTCTTTCCCTCAGCGGGAGCAAGGCTGAAGGTCACGGCGGCAATTCCTGGGCTGCA